CACCAGCCACTCCTCAGAAGGAAGGTTGGGCAATCTACTTTCGTAGTGATACCGCCTAGGAAACCCAAGGAGGGGTCGCTATGAGTCAGATCCGACTCCATGGTAGTGCATTTGGTTTGGTTTTTTGAAGCAGGGAAATCAGATTTTGTAAAGACCACCCTACTGCCATATTTTGAGTATATTTGTGGACTGTCTGTAAATTTCCTTGCTGTCCCCATTGACCTTGCAGTGAGTTTGGTTTTGGTTTTTGGAGATATCTATGTGGCTTGGCATCGATCTTCCCCCATCTCTTCTCTTAACTTGCTTCTTTAATCTCTGTATCTCAAAAGGGACTGACTCAAGATACAGCCTACACAAATCCTGTCTTATTAACATAACAAAAACAACCTATTCCCAAATGGGGTTCCCAAACCCAACCCACAGCCATAAAGTTGATTCAGAGTCATAGGGACCCTAGTTGGCTTTCCTAAGCGGTAGACTGCAGAGCAGCTGGTGGGTTTCAACTACCAACCTTCTGGTTAGAAGCCAAATGACTTACTCACTATGCCACCAGAGCGCCTTCAAATGGTATTAGAGGTTAGGATTTACAATACATGTGTTTTGGGGACATAATTCAATTCATAACACTATAAGGTCAAAAAGTTCTTTTACAGGGGCAACTATCTAGGAGCCCTGGTGGTACAGTGGTTAAATGCCAGGTGTTTGAACCTAATAGCCACTGCTTTTGTAAAGATTACAGCCTTGGAAACCCTGTGTGGCAGTTCTACTCTGTCCAGTAGGGTTACTATGGGTTGGAATTGACTCTGTGGCAATGGGTTTTGGTGTAACAGTCCTAACTTTTAATTAACTTCTGACTCCAGGACAGGAATTTCCCATTTTAACCAGAATGGCGATGAAGTAGTCTAACTGAAAGTTACTATATATATTACAATTATAAATTTTTGTACAATTAAAACATAAGAAACGATCCTTAGCTTAGAAACAGTGAAGGAAAATAACCTTTTCTTTTTAATAGCTTAGTCTTTCAAGATTTTATACAGACTGTGAATCAACATTAATTATAAGCATAAATTCTTATTGGACAGATGATTGTTTAAGGTATAGGAGAGTGGATTCTTTTTGCCAAAACTCATAGAAGTCAACTGGAAATGATCGTTTGTTGGAATCATTCCTACCTGCACTTCTGCTATACCAACCCCGTCTCAGTTAGAGACAGGCCTACCTGCACATGTGGACAGTATGAGGGTAGAGGAAAGGCTGAGTTGAACTCTTTGGACCTGTCTCCTAGTTTCTTAGGGCCTAGGACACATGGAGAGTAGTCTCCAACATCAAAGGTCTATTACCACCATCATGAATGTCATCAAGGCCTCTTGTAAATCTATTAATCTACACCAAGTATAATTGTGAGAAAGGAATGTGAGTTACACTGAGTGCAATGGGGAGAAAGGGATATAATTTCCTTGTGTAAATACACAGTTGAACCTGGTATTCAAGAATTTAATACTCACTTCTGACTGCTTTCAAGTAACATCAAAGACCCATGACACACAGTGTTGGCAACCTGTCTGATACTTAATTAGTTCCTGAATAATGGTCATAGGGTAAGCTCTCTTAAGTCAAACACTCATTTCCTATAGGCACCATGATGTTTAAATTGGGATTCTGTTCTTGGAAATTCTTTTTACATCATAAAACTAGCAAAACATCATTAAAAAATAAACAAATACACAATTTTACAAAGTCTGTAAAATTAAGCATGGGAAAACCTATAGTAGGAACATTTCTTTTGGGAATTCTGCATGGGCAAAAGTAAGTCTTCTTAAAGTATGGGTCTACTGAAGTCTCACCTAAATGATCATCTTTCCCTAGTAAATGTTCCTGAGGCAAGTATGCTGTTGTTGTTATATGCCACGGAGACAGACCTGACTCACAGCAACCCCTCCTTGGGTTTCTGAGGTGGTATCACTACAGAAGTAGATTTCCCAACTTTCCTTCCGAGGAGTGGCTGGTGGGTTTGAACCACCAGCCTTCTGGTTAGCAGTCAAGTGCCCTGGGCTGTACACTATCAGAGCTCCTGAGGCAAGAATAGGTAGGTATTTCTTGCTGCAAAGATCTTTGAACTTTTAATGTGGATGATAAACTAATGGGAAAAAGTCAGTTCATCACTCTTGTACTGAAGGACTTACACTAGGTGATCTCCAGATTACTTTAGCATTGGTAACCTGGGACTACATCGGTGCACACATGTCCACATTTGCCTCAAAAAAAAAAAAAAAAAAGCCACTGTCACTACAATGTGGCTACTGTGCTGTGATTCTTCATTTTAGCCACTGTTTAAAAATATTATTATCTTTGAAAAAAGATAACTTTACATAGTGAATTTAAATTGGCATCTTTCAGAAGAGAACAAGAAAGTTTCCAAATAGTTTTGTTTTCGCTGTAGGAAAGTAGTATTCAAGGGAGCTTCTACTAGCCTTCCACTGATTTTGAATTGAACATTATCAAGTTTACTTTAGAGGTCAACCTCCAGATTATACACAGTATACACTCTTTCTTGAAAGCATTCTTTCATGCAATAAAAATTAAGAACAATCATGGTCTATATAAGGTTATAGAGTGTGCCATACAGCAGTTCTCAAAATATGGTTGCTAGACTCACTGTATCAACATTACCTGGCAACTTGATCACAATGCAAATTCTTGGACCCAATCCTGAATCAGAAATTCTGGGGTTGGGGCCCAGTAATTTGTTTTAACAAGCCCTTACAAGTGATTCAGACACTTACCAAAGGTTGAGAACCACTGCCATAAAGCACCCACTTCTGCTAGAATAACGTATACTACGGTACGGGTCAAGGTACATGAGTAGAGGACGTGGAGTGAGAGAAGTTGCAGAAGTTCAGGATCAGAAAGCCTTTTGGGGTCCAACTGCTGCAGCGTTCTTAGGTTACCTTCCTTTCTAACCCTAGTGCCTCTGGCTGATAAGTTATCTTTTTGTGAAATAAATAATTAGAACTTGAAGTACTCTGATGTGTTCTATGTTTGAGGACTGTTTCACCTCCCAATACCACATCGAGACTTGAAAACAATCATCTGAAACTCAACAAGGACCTTAAACTTCTACCATAGATGCCTGAAGGAATTTCTAAGATGCAGTGACATTTACCATGTGCCTTCCAAGCACTCATGCTTTTAGAAGTGAACTGGTTTGAGAATTCATCCTTCCCCACTTTCAGTCCACATGAAAAATGGTGGCAGGGGTTCACCCCTCCAATGTTGGAGCATATGACTCTGACAGTGGCCTCGCCAGTTAAAGCCCTGTACCCCTTAGCCTGGCAACTGGTCTGATCAGGACTTTTAAGAGAGCTAGTGAACAGAGAAGGCTCTTTTCTGCTGAAACTCCAGGAAGATGCTAGGCTAAAAGAGCAGCGTCCATCTAACCACCATTTTACTGATATTCTGAGAAGGCAGAGCTAAGGGACAGAGACAAGTACTGGGAACTCTCTTTGAGCCCTGAATGCTACCAAGACTTAAGCTAGAATTCTCTCTGGACTTTTTAACCAATACAATTTCCTTTCCTTCCCCCCCCCCCCCACTTACTCTAAATTTCAACTGGCATTTCTGATTACTTGAAAGAATACTTGATATACACCTATTCCTCAATTATTGACTCTCTCATTACCTGACATTTCACATCCAGGACAATAGTAAACAATCTACTCTCAGACTATTTTGCAGATTAACCTGGGTTTCCTTCCTGCCCAGCTCCTGGCCTGCAGAGCCACCCATGTCTTTCAGACTCATAGGTGAAACAGCCAGTTCTCCAGAAGGCCTCTTGCTGGTCCCATCCCTACCGCCAGAGCTCTTCATGTGAAAGAGGTGAATGTGGTGGATTTTGAGGGAGCCCTTTCAATAAAGGCCTGTAAGTGACCTGAGGGGCCAGGAGGAGAGAGAGGAGATTGCTGCTGCTGTTCCTCTCTACTCAAGTGCCTTAGAGGACCAAGTCCTGCAGTGGGAAGGGTACTTGGAGGCTGCAACAGCAACAGCTGGCCCCTCCTCTTCTTCCATAGTCCTGGCTTCTGAGCACTCTTCAGAGCAGGTGTTGGTCTCCAGGCTCTTGGATTCTAAGTCTTCTAAGACCAACAGAACATCACTTGTTTCCGCAGGGTCCTCCCTGGCCTATGGGGCAGCAGGTGGTTGGGGCTGCATAGGGAGTGGCTGCAGGGGGCACAGGCACAAGGAGCAACCCCCACTGACCATCTTAACCCCCAGCCCTATGTGTTCTCTGAGCCCCAGAGTCATCAACTGCTCAAGCGCCAGCTCCTACAGCAAGGTATTGAGGTCCAGAGCAAAATGGTGCCAAGGGCACAGCAGTTCTGAGGAACGGGGATCTGGGGCCCCTCCGTGTCCTCCTCATCCTTGCATAATGCTGATTTTGCAGACCTGATCTTTGGAACCTAACCATGTCAATAAGTGAGGAATGGATGTATGGCTCTTTGTATTTTCTTTCCTCCTCCTCTCAATTCTTTCTGTGAAAATTTTAAATTAGAAATATACCTGCCTCTATGGCACAGTGCCTAAGGAATCTGACTGCTAATCAGAAGGTTGTCAGTTCAAACCCCCCAGCCACTCTGCAGAAAGAAGATGGGGCAATATACTTCTGTAAAGAATTACTATCTTGGAAACCCAATGGGGATTGCTATGAGTCGGAATTGACTTGATGGCAGTGAGTTTTAATCTCTTTCATTCCCTATTTTACTCACTGTTGCCTGCATAATTTTACACAACACTGCTTTTCAAATCTTTCTGCTCAAAAACCATCTATTAACACCCACTGTAACAAAATTAAATTCAAACATTTCTACATGACATTTGAAATTCTTAGAATCTGGTCTTTTCTCAATTTTCTGCATCTTCTACTTGGTCTTGCAATTCCATTCATTTTTTTGAATGTCATTAGCTCCAACAACCTCAAAATTGTAAAGTAATTCAGATCTTACCTTCAAATCCAGATGAACTACATCATGAGTATGTAAAAATCGAACACCTTCTAAAATTTGTCTCATGAGTCTTTGAACATCTTTTTCTTTAAAGGCTTCATCCCTGTCTGCAACACATTGGTCAAAGATTTCACCTCCAGCAGCGCTAGAGAAGGACAGAGCATATGTTAATTACAAAGGGAAATGAATGACACCAAAAAAAAAAAAAAAAAAAAAATCCTTTTTTGTTCTTAATTTTATGTATACTTTTTAATTTTTGGTTATAGAATACACAAAAGTACTATTTTTTTTTTAAAAAAAAGCAAATAATTTAAATAAAGACCCATTCTCTAATCCTAGTGCCTATTTCAGAAGTAAGTCCTATTATCAATTTGGTAAATTATCCTTCCAGAGCCTACGTATTGCAATGCATTTAAAATGTTAGTTTTATTGATTAAAAAGCAAAAAAACATAAATGGTAACGTATAATATGAACTTGTTCTACAACTTTTTCTTTTTTCCCTACTTAACATTTCTTAACAAGCCCTGGTGATACAAGGGTTGGTTAAGTGCTGAACTGCTTACCAAGAGGTTGGTGGTTTGAACTCACCAGTGGCTCCAGGGGAGAAAAGACTTGGCAATGTGCTCCCTCCCGTAAATAGTACAGGCTAGGAAACCTTATGGGGCAGTTCTACTCTGTCCTGTAAGATCACTATGAGTCAACTGACTCAATGGCACACAACAAAATTTCTTAGTCTTTCCATGAAGATTCTATACATCTATCTACTTATGTCATTATTTTCCTCTTGCTCAGTGAACAGATAAACCATAGTTTATTTAACCATTTTCCATTGGAGGACATATAGTTCAGTCTAATTATTCACTATTATCAACAATGCTTTGATGAGAAGGCACATTCATGTTTGTTTGCCCAGGTACGAGGAGTTCTCAAAGGTAGACACCTATTAATGAAACTGCTACGTTGAAGAATATGTGCATTTAACATTTTAACAGATACAGCCAAACTGCTTATCAAAAGAGCAGTATTAATGTTTTCTTCCACCCTCTGGCCAAAGCTTCTTAGTTTTATTTATTTATTTTAAAAAAATCTTGCCAAGAAGAAAATCATCATTGTTTGAATCGGTATTTCCCTTCAATGGAACTGACACATTTAAAAAATTCATTCTTAACATCAACAGAGGAATAGATCAACAATTATGGTACATACACACAATGAAATACTACACAATATTAAACAACAATGATGAATCTGCTAAATATCTCATAACATGGATGAACTCAAAGCCCATTATGCTGAGTGAAGTTAGTCAATCACCAAAGGACAAATATTACATGAGACCAATATTGTAAAAAGTCAAGAAAACAGTTTCACAAAGAAGTATTCTTTGATGGCTACCAAGGGTGGGTGGGTAAGGGAGCACAAACACTAACTATAGGGTAGACTCATATTAACTTGGGTGAAGGGGAAAAAAAATAAATAATAAAAAAAATCAATTTGTACCATAAATGACAATCAATGGCATATCTTAAAATTTTTATTTATGAGTTTTAAAAAATTTTGGTGTGCCTCCATGAAGTTGACATAATACTAACATGAAATATATAATCCAAAAGGACCACACAACTACATCAAAGTCATTCATTAACCTCTATTACATGAACATAATGTAATGCTTTTCTTTTTTTAAGGTAACGTATTTTCCAAGGTCTGCCCATGTAAAGAAACATAATTTCTCATTAAGATGAAGAATGAGCCAGCTCATTGCTACCATCTACAATAAAGTTCAACAGATGTCAATTTACATAAATACGAAGACTTTTTTAATCTAAAATTTAAGAGCAATTTATAATTAGTTCTTTCTATTATGTTTGAAACATAATTTAGCTGAAAAGTTACAGGTGATGCAAGTTAAAGATAATAATTCATTGGCTGATAAGATTTGCATTTTGGTTAAACCTATACTACTGGCCACTCCTCGGTAGGAAGGTTGGGCAATCCTACTTCCGTAGTGATACTGCCTCGGAAACCCAAGGAGGGGTCGCTATGAGTCGGGGCCGACTCGACGGCACATAACAACAACAACAACAACATACTACTGGTTTTTTATTATATTTTATTTATCACATAAAAATAATATTTGAAAGCACTTAAACAATTTCTATGTAACTAACTGTGAATGGCTATTAGATATTCTGGTAAAGTTAAAGTAATAAATAACTCAAAAGAAAGGAAATGGTAAACATTTACAAATTTGAGAGTAAATTACTAATGGCCTAGAAGAATAGTACACTAGGGATTTGATGACCTAAAACAAAATGCAGCATGAGCTGGGTTGACTAAGCCCCAAGCTGTGCAGGCCACAAAGCCCTGTACATAGACCAGCCAAGGTTTACCAGGTATACTCAGAATTGTCCATGACCCAGAATTGAAACAAAGTGCTGCATTTCAGTTGGAAAAGTTTCTCAATTGCAACTTATTGTCATCTGAGTCGGCTCACTACTACCGTCTCCAATAAAACTCAACAGAGGTCAATTTACATAAATACAAAAATCTTTTTAATCTAAAATTTAAGTGGAATTTATCATTAGTTCTTTCCACTATGTTTACCCATCTTGCTTTAACAAAAGCAAAAATTTAAGTAGGCCACATAAATGCTCAAAAAATATGGCCAACTCTAAATGCAGACTATTATAAGATAAGATTCAAAAGGCAGCCTTGAGTGATCAGTAAGTAAGACTAGATACTTCATGGGTACAATGTGCAATCATGAGCTTACCCTGCTTAACTGTAAACTTTATCCATTGACTTAACTAATTGTCATATTGTGGTAGTTACATTTGTGTGTCAACCTGGCTGGGTGTGGCTGAGGGGCTGGGCAGCTAGATGCAGTATTCCCCATGATGAGACTGGTAATCAACTCCATGGTGGAATCTATTATGAGCAGCTGAGTAGTTACCATAGGGATGCGGTCTGCTTCTTGTACATAAGGAGAAGCCTTGGGCATAGTCTCTAGCTTATGGCACACTTGAACCCTGCATGTACCCGTGTCGTTGTTCAGCAGCCTGCCATGCTCTGCCAACCTTGGGACTTTCAATGGACTTGAATTAATGGCCTGCCATGTGGTTTGGTAACATTGGGACTGTGTCTTTTTTACTAGTCAACCTTGGGCTTGTCAGCCTCAGCAGCCAGCAGCTGAGTGAAGAAAAGCCTCCAGCTTCAGTGGGCTGGGAACAGAAGGCAGAGCTGAAATCTGAAGTTCAGGGGCTTTCACTCAGTCCCTAGAGCCTGACAGTTTGAACTCAGACTTAAAGCCTTCAAACTGTAAGAGAATAAACTCCTGTTTGTTAAGGCCATCCCATTTGTGATATCTTCTGTTAGACTGGCACTAGGTAACCAAAACACATATTAAGTAATGTAAGTAAATGTAATTTTACTGAAGTATAATTTGAAATGTTAAAAGCATCTTGTCAAGCAGGGTAACAAAAAATGTAATTAACAACTTTACTTCACACAAAGCACTTTCCTTCATATAAAATGTACCTAAGCACTGGGAGCTCTGGTGGTGTGGTGCCTAAGGTATGTAACTGCTAACCAGAAGGCTGGCAGTTCAAACCCACCAGCCACTCCTCAGAAAGGAAGACTGGGCAATCTACATCCATAGAGATACTTTCTGGGAAATACAAGGAGGGGTCGCTATGAGTCAAATCGACTCAATGGTAGTGAGTTTGGTTTGGCTTTTTGGAAGCACTAAGAAGAATTTTGCTATTCCTCCCTTTAACTAAAGCAAGATTACTACATCTTACCAAAAATTTCTTATAACTCAAGAACTTTTAAAAAAATTTATACAAAAGCTATTTTTAAAAAAATTAAGAACTTTAAAATTTCAATTTTCTAAAGTTCCTTAGAAAATTGTAAGTATATGTGGTCAACATTATTCATAGCCACATAAATGACATTTTAGGCCACCAGTAACTAAAGATTCCCTGGCTGCCTGAGCCTTGCCTAGAACACAGCTTCCAATCTCAGAGACCAAACATTTTTTTCTATCTAAACTAGCATTTCCATTTCTACTCTACTCAGATGGCCAGTGCGGATCTTTACTCCTTCACTATTTAAATTCAACAAACACTGATCAAATATGTCAGACACTATGCTATGTGCTAGGCGTAGAAAGATGAATTACAAACAAGTATATCTAAGCCTTCAAACACTAGTGGCGGAGAGAAAAATGAAAGATATTTTTAAGAACAAATGTTTATGCATACATATATGTGTGTGAAATTATAAATCAAGTGATTAGTAACTTAGCTATGGGTCAATTAATGAAAATGGAGGAAGAAAAATATCTCAGAATGATACCTATGCTGGGGCTTGGAAGGAGGAAAAGGAATCTATTAGGTAAAATGGTAAAAGTACATACTAGGTAGAGTGAAGAGAACACACTGTTGTGAAAAATGCATGGTACCTTTACAAAGGATAAGTAGCTACTTCCCCTTTCAGCCAACTTATATATAGCTTGCCCTCTGGTTGTAACAACTAAAAAAAGAACTACGCTCAGGCATTAACAACAAGCAGTATAGGACCATCATCCCTGAGAGAAGGGAAACAAACAAGGTGAACTTTACTGTCTTCCTTCCTTCCTAATTGGAGGCAATTTATGAGCTGATGCACAGAGAGGAAAGGAACCCAAGCAGAATTTGGCAGTCTTGCTAAATTTTGGAGATAGACTTGAAAACAGCTAGGCTGAGGCAGTGGGAATTTTCAGGAAGAGTACAGGAGAGGGGGGACTGAAACAGCAAAAGAGTTGCAGAAATCTGCTTAGTGGTATCCTGGAATCTTAGGCAAAAATACTTACATGCATATAAAAAACAAAAAACCAAACTCACTGCTGTAGAATTGGATCCAACTCATAGCAACCCCTCCTTGGGTTTCCGAGGTGGTATCACTACGGAAGTAGATTGCCCAATCTTCCTTCCGAGGAGTGGGTGGTGGGTTTGAACCACCAGCCTTGTAGTTGGTTGTCAAATGCCTTAGGCACTATGCTACCAGCGCCTTACATGCATATGCACAGGGTGAAATGCTATGAGGTCAGGCAAGAATGGAAATAGAAGCTGAGCAATCTCCAGAGTAAACAAAGGACTTGG